CTACTAGATCTAATATCTGAATTCAGCAAAGTTTCAGGATACAAAATTCATACATAGAAATCTGTGGCATTCCTATACACTAATGATGAACTAGCAGAAAGAGAAATCAGGTGAACAATTCCATTCACAATTGCCTTAAAAAGAATAAAATACCTAGAAATAAATCTAACCAAGGAAGTGAAAGACCTATACTCTGAAAACTACTAGACTCTCATGAGAGAAATTAAAGAAGATACCAATAAATGGAAACACATCCCATGCTCATGGACAGGAAGAATTAATACTGTCAAAATGGCCATCCTGCCTAAAGCAATCTACGGATGCAATCCCTGTCAAAATACAAACAGCATTCTTCAACAAAATAGAGAAAATAGTTCTAAAATCCATATGGAACCACAAAAGACCCTGAATAGCCAAAGCAATCCTGAGAAGGAAGAATAAAGTAGGGGGGGATTATGCTCCCTGACTTCAAGTTCTACTACAAAGCCACAGTAATCAAGACAATTTGGTACTGGCACAAGAACAGACTCATAGACCAATGGAACAGAACAGAGAGCCCAGATATAAACCTAAGCATATACCATCAGTTAATATAAGATAAAGGAGCCATGGATATACAGTGGGGAAATGACAGCCTCTTTAACAGCTGGTGTTAGCAAAACTGGACAGCTACATGTAAGAGAATGAAAGTGGATTATTGTCTAACCCCTTTCACAAAAGTAAACTTCAAATGGATCAAAGGCCTGTATATAAGTCATGAAACCATAAAACTCTTAGAAGACAACATAGGCAAAAGTCTCCTGAATATAAACATAAGCAACTTTTTCCTGAATTCATCTCCTTGAGCAAGGGAAACAAAAGTAAAATGAACTCATGGGACTACATCAAACTAAAAAGCTTCTGTACAGCAAAGGACACCATCAACAGAACAAAGAGGCATCCTACAGTATGGGAGAATATATTGTAAATGACAAAGCTGAGAAGTGGTTAACATCCAAAATATATAAACAACTTACACACCTCAACAACCAAAAAGCAAATAACCCTATTAAAAAATGGGCTGGGGATATGAACGGACACTTCTCCAAAGAAGAAATTCAGATGGGCAACAGGCACATGAAAAGATGCTCCATGTCACTAATTATCAGGGAAATCCAAATAAAAACCACAATGAGATATCACCTCACACCAGTAAGGATGGCCAGCATTGAAAAGACTAAGAACAACAAATGGTGGCAAGGATGTAGAGAAAGGGGAACCCTCCTCCACTGCTGGTGGAATGTAAGCTAGTCCAACCATTGTGGAAAGCAATATGGAGGTTCCTCAAAAAACTAAAAATAGAAATTCCATTTGACCCAGGAATTCCACTCCTAGGAATTTACCCAAAGAATATAATTTCTCAGATTCATAAAGACATATGCACCCCTTATCACAGCACTATTTACAATAGCCAATAAATGGAAGCAACCTAAGTGTCCATCAGTGGATGAATGGATAAAGAAATGTGGTACATGTACCCAATGGAATACTATTCAGCCATAAGAAAGAAACAAATCCTACCATTTGCAACAATATGGATGGAGCTGGAGGATATTATGCTCAGTTAAATAAGCCAGGTGGAGAAAGAGATGAACCATATGATTTCCCTTATTTGTGGGGCATAACAACCAGGTAAAACTAAAGGAAAAAAACAGCAACAGACTCACAGACTCCAAGAAGGGACCAATGGTTATCAAAGGGGAGGGGTGGGGGACGGTGGCTGGGGAGGGAATAAGAGTGAGATTGAGGGGTATTATGATTGGCAAACATGGTGTGGGTGATCATGAGGAAGACTGTGTAGCACAGAGAGGGCAAATAGTGACTCTGTGGCTTCTTACTACACTGATGGGCAGTGACTGCAATGGGATGCGGGGGATACATGATAATATGGATGAATGTAGTAACTACATTGTTTTTTCATGTGTAACCTTCGTAAGAGTATATATCAATAATACCTTAAGGAAAAAAAAAGAAAAAGTAATAACAAATGTTGTTGAGGATCTGCAGAAAGGTTGCTCCTTGGACCTTTAGTGGGAATGGAACTTGGTGCAGCTGCTATGGAAAACAAGATGGAGGTTCCTCAACAATTAAAAATAAAAATAGGAATATCCAGTAATTCCTATTTTGGGTATTTAACTAAAGAATATGAAAATGCTAATTTGAAGAATATATACAGCCCACGTTTATTGCAGCGTTATTTACAGTAGACAAGTTACAGAAACAAGCTAAGTGTCTGTGGACAGACGAATGGATAAGGAAAATGTGATACATACATACATGCACAATGGACTATTAAGCCATTAAAATGAATGAAATTTTGCCATTCACAGCAACATGGATGGACCTTGAGGATTGTGCTAAATGATTTAAGTCAGAGAAAAAAAAATAGCTTACGATGTCACTTGCATGTTGTATTAAACAAAACATCACACACAAAAAAAACCATAGCAGCTCACAGATGGAGAGAAGAGGTTGGTGGTTTTCAGAGTGGAGGGTAAAGGGTGGGCACAATGGGTGAAAGACAAAATGTAAAGCTTCCTATAAGCATTTAACTAAGTCATGGGAATTTAATGGATAGCATGATGACTATTGTTAATATTACTGTATTTGGAAGTTGCTAAGAGTAAATGTTTTTTAATTTAAAAACACTGATTAAGTAATATGTGAGATAATGATGCTAAGCCTTTATATGCCTTAGAGTATAAGATTCAGGAGGTCAGCATATTTTAAGAGTAAATCTTAAAATCTTAAATCTCATCACAAGAGAAAGCAAATTCTGTAACTGTGGATGGTGATGGATGTTGACTAGACTTGTGACCATTTTCAAGTAGATACAAATATTGAATCATGTTGTACACCTAAAACCAAAGTATTGTGTGTCAATTATGCTTCAATATGAAAAATAAAAATTTCATGCATCAAAAGACACCATCCAAAAAGTAAAAAGACAACCTGTAGGAAGAGAAAATACTGCAATTACATTTTGAAAAGGTGTAGTACCTAAAATATATAAAGAACTCTCATAATTCGATAGCCAAAAGGCAACCCAATAAAAAATGGATGAAGGGCTTGAATAGACATGTTGCCAGAGACAACAAGTGGGCAGCAGTGAGTGAAAAGAGAAGAGCTCAGCATCGTCAGTCCTCAGGGAGAGGCAGAACAGGGCCACAGTGAGGTGCTGTCACATGCAGAAGAGGGGCGCAAATAAAAGGGGACATAAGTTCTGGTGAGCATGTAGGAAAATTGTAACTGTAGTACTTTGTTAATGGGAACGTCAAGTGGTGCAGCTGCTATGGAAACAGCAGCATTTCCTCAAAAAGTTTAGTATTACCAAATACTCTAGCATTTCTACTCCAAGGTATGTACACAGAATTGAAAACTGGTTTAAGAACATGAACAAAAATTTGTACATAAATGTTCATAGCATTTTTCATAATAGCCAAAGATGGAAACAATCCAGTGTCCATCAACTGATGAATGACTAAAGTGTGATACAGCTTTATCATGGAACATTATACAGCCATAAAAAGAACTACTTGAGGTATGTCACAGCATGGATTAACTTTGAAGCATCATGGTTGATAAGGAAGCCAGATACAAAAGATCACATATTGTATGGTTTCATTAATTTGAAATGTCCAGAATAGGTAAGTCCATAAAGACAGAAAGCAGATTAGTGACTGCAGGGGGCTGGGGAAAGTATAATACGTTTCACTTGAACTGTTTTTTGTTTGTAATAGCTTTGCTTTGTTTTGTCTCACCCTGTGAAGCAAAGTTGGGTGTTTTGACTCTTGCTGTGTTGACTCTCTAGAGGTCCTGGCTAGAGGCCCTCTGAAGTAACCCAGTATTTAAATAATGCAAGACCTCTAGCTAGTGTGATGGAGCCTTAGTACGTAGCTATTTGCAAATCGAGCTCAAAGGCTCAATGCTGTCTTCAGTTGAGCCTCATAACACCACAGAGCCACAAAAACATTACCTATATCAACCTGTGTGAGTACCCAATGTAGGGAGGACATGCCATTTTCACATTGATTCAGCCCAAGAGTTTGCCTCGAAGATGATTCCCATCATGATGTCACCCCGGCTCCCAGCGCTGAGACCCCAGTGCCAGCCGTGCTTACGGCTGCCTTTTCTAAAGATGCTGACACATTGGGCGTGGTCTATATTTATTGCTCTTTTTCTTCTGATACCAGGAGCTCTGTTTCCTGAGCCCTCGTTTGCTTAGCCCATTATCCTGATACACTTGTTGCCCTCTGCCAATATGTCTGTCCCTACACTCCTGTGTTTGAAGGAGAATCTCTGTGCTATTCTAAAATTTAATGCTGATTTTTCCAGGAAGCAGCTGCCACATCTTGGTCTGCCACTCGACTTCACTGGCAGCGCCTTCTCCCCTGCCCCCCAGCTCTCTATCAGGACATCAGACCTGTAGCTACAACCTTGCCCACCATACCCACCCCTTCTCCTTAGTCTGACAGAGAAGGGAGAGATGGAGAGAGAAGGGAGAATGTTAGGGTGTTTGATATCAATCAACAGAAGTAAGAAAACTGGAATATTGGAACCTCACATTAAGATAATGGTTATTCGTAAGTGAGAGGATAGTAGGTGGTTTTATTTTCTCTTTTCATCTCTGTTTTTTCATGGAATGGCAATAAAGTACTATTTGAACAATAAGAACAATAAAATACGGTTTTTTTTCTGGTTGAGAGATACTTTTGGTCATGTTCACTGAGATATTGAAGTCAGTAACATTCACATCTCCCCAGTGTTGACGCCTTTCAGGGGAGCCCGATGCTCTCCTGCGTTAAACAACAGGCTTAGTGTGGAAAGACAGTCAGGGTGCAGGGTGTTTTATTTAAATCAAAACTACTCCATGTTGACGTCTGTCCCATGACCTTTCTCTTGTCTGATCCTTTTAATTAGTCATTAAGTGTACATATTAGCAAAAATGCTTTCATTTCCAGATAATGAAACTACATGAACAAATTCTTAAAGAACTTGAAGAAACTATAGAAAACTGTGAAAATGCCAAATCAAATGCTCAACGAACTAGAGAAGACTTTGAAAAAGATATTTATAATGATGAAACAAGCATAGATGCCTACAAGTGAGAATTTTTCACAAATGCTGCTTATAGTATTTAAAAGTAAAATATTAAGAATATAATTTATATTCTTATATAAAAACCAGATAAAGAGAAAGTGAATTGCCAGATAAAAAGAAAGCTAATTACACATATTATCACAAAGTTTATATCTAAATTAAAATGTCTATACACTTGTAAATCTACGTGTGTATAAATTTCTAAAGCACTATTGCTCTGTGTTGTTCCAAAGCTCCTCATATGTCACCAGACTGCCTCTCAGTATGACATAACAATATGTGACCTGCTGAGTGAGCAAAAGTGACTGTTTTTAAAGTAAATTCTATATGGTTCTGTGTGATACAATAAAATTTTAGTCAAATGGATGAATGGTTTGGTATGGAAAAACATACTCATCATGGAGCTAGAATTAAGTAAATATAAGTAGAATGAAGAACACAAAACTTATACAAAATTCTATGATCTAGATAACATCCAGGGAACATACATTATGTAATTTTAATCCATTGGAAATTGTTGCATCGTAATGTTTGGCTAAGTGAACATTATACAGCCATAAAAAGAACTACTTGAGGTATGTCACAGCATGGATTAACTTTGAAGCATCATGGTTGATAAGGAAGCCAGATACAAAAGATCACATATTGTATGGTTTCATTAATTTGAAATGTCCAGAATAGGTAAGTCCATAAAGACAGAAAGCAGATTAGTGACTGCAGGGGGCTGGGGAAAGTATAATACGTTTCACTTGAACTGTTTTTTGTTTGTAATAGCTTTGCTTTGTTTTGTCTCACCCTGTGAAGCAAAGTTGGGTGTTTTGACTCTTGCTGTGTTGACTCTCTAGAGGTCCTGGCTAGAGGCCCTCTGAAGTAACCCAGTATTTAAATAATGCAAGACCTCTAGCTAGTGTGATGGAGCCTTAGTACGTAGCTATTTGCAAATCGAGCTCAAAGGCTCAATGCTGTCTTCAGTTGAGCCTCATAACACCACAGAGCCACAAAAACATTACCTATATCAACCTGTGTGAGTACCCAATGTAGGGAGGACATGCCATTTTCACATTGATTCAGCCCAAGAGTTTGCCTCGAAGATGATTCCCATCATGATGTCACCCCGGCTCCCAGCGCTGAGACCCCAGTGCCAGCCGTGCTTACGGCTGCCTTTTCTAAAGATGCTGACACATTGGGCGTGGTCTATATTTATTGCTCTTTTTCTTCTGATACCAGGAGCTCTGTTTCCTGAGCCCTCGTTTGCTTAGCCCATTATCCTGATACACTTGTTGCCCTCTGCCAATATGTCTGTCCCTACACTCCTGTGTTTGAAGGAGAATCTCTGTGCTATTCTAAAATTTAATGCTGATTTTTCCAGGAAGCAGCTGCCACATCTTGGTCTGCCACTCGACTTCACTGGCAGCGCCTTCTCCCCTGCCCCCCAGCTCTCTATCAGGACATCAGACCTGTAGCTACAACCTTGCCCACCATACCCACCCCTTCTCCTTAGTCTGACAGAGAAGGGAGAGATGGAGAGAGAAGGGAGAATGTTAGGGTGTTTGATATCAATCAACAGAAGTAAGAAAACTGGAATATTGGAACCTCACATTAAGATAATGGTTATTCGTAAGTGAGAGGATAGTAGGTGGTTTTATTTTCTCTTTTCATCTCTGTTTTTTCATGGAATGGCAATAAAGTACTATTTGAACAATAAGAACAATAAAATACGGTTTTTTTTCTGGTTGAGAGATACTTTTGGTCATGTTCACTGAGATATTGAAGTCAGTAACATTCACATCTCCCCAGTGTTGACGCCTTTCAGGGGAGCCCGATGCTCTCCTGCGTTAAACAACAGGCTTAGTGTGGAAAGACAGTCAGGGTGCAGGGTGTTTTATTTAAATCAAAACTACTCCATGTTGACGTCTGTCCCATGACCTTTCTCTTGTCTGATCCTTTTAATTAGTCATTAAGTGTACATATTAGCAAAAATGCTTTCATTTCCAGATAATGAAACTACATGAACAAATTCTTAAAGAACTTGAAGAAACTATAGAAAACTGTGAAAATGCCAAATCAAATGCTCAACGAACTAGAGAAGACTTTGAAAAAGATATTTATAATGATGAAACAAGCATAGATGCCTACAAGTGAGAATTTTTCACAAATGCTGCTTATAGTATTTAAAAGTAAAATATTAAGAATATAATTTATATTCTTATATAAAAACCAGATAAAGAGAAAGTGAATTGCCAGATAAAAAGAAAGCTAATTACACATATTATCACAAAGTTTATATCTAAATTAAAATGTCTATACACTTGTAAATCTACGTGTGTATAAATTTCTAAAGCACTATTGCTCTGTGTTGTTCCAAAGCTCCTCATATGTCACCAGACTGCCTCTCAGTATGACATAACAATATGTGACCTGCTGAGTGAGCAAAAGTGACTGTTTTTAAAGTAAATTCTATATGGTTCTGTGTGATACAATAAAATTTTAGTCAAATGGATGAATGGTTTGGTATGGAAAAACATACTCATCATGGAGCTAGAATTAAGTAAATATAAGTAGAATGAAGAACACAAAACTTATACAAAATTCTATGATCTAGATAACATCCAGGGAACATACATTATGTAATTTTAATCCATTGGAAATTGTTGCATCGTAATGTTTGGCTAAGTGACATGGTTTTTGTTTTTTGTGTTTTTTTGTAAATATTCCTGTGTACTTGTAAATATTCCTTCTGTACTTTATTGAATACATTGTTCTTTGCTGTTTCATTAAGTCAAGTTTGCTAATTATGGAGGCTAATCTTGGTATATCCTTGTTATTTCAAGTATGTTCAAAATGCAGACTGTAAGGCTCAAGTGGCACCTGTTGAATGAGATGCATTTTAAAAGATCCCCAAGAAGCGCTGTTCCATATCATTACTAATTTTTACTGCTTTTCTTCCAAGTATCGAGAAATGTGGAAAAATTACCTGTAGTGAGGATATATCTGTCTACATCTTTTTATTTTTCATGCTATCAGGATTTGTGTCCTGTATTATGAGGGTCTCTCGGGTTCATAGAAGTTACATCTTCCTGGGAAAAGATTAATCTCTTTCATTATTGTGAATTGACTTTCTTTGACTCTTGGAATACTTTGTACTGTAAACTCAACTAAGATATTAATTTAACTTCATTACCTTTCTTTTGATATTTGGGAAATATTTTCAGTTTTTAAGTTTCAGTATTTCTTAGTCTTTATGTTTTGGAAATGTCTCCTGTCAGCATCACGTAGTTAGTTTTCTTAAAAAATCAGTTTGAAAGTATTTTTAGTAGTGGACCATCAAGTGCATTTGCAAATTACTAATACCTTTGGGTTTCAACTACCATGGATTCTGTTTGCCTCATGTTTTACTTCTTTTTTTTATTGTCTTCTTTCACATTAGTTATTGTTCTCTTTCTAGTTTGGTAATTATAATTCTGTTCCTGTTCTTTTAGTAGGAGATCCTATTAATTGCTACATGCAAACTTAACATCGTCTGACTCTGAAGGCACTGTTTATCTGTCAGACTTAGGGACTTACAGAAATTTTTACTGTAGTTACCACATTGCTCCTGAAATAAATATTTGTCATGGAATATTTCATATCTTTATAACCCATGGGAATATTGTTATTACTATTTTAAACAATTAAGATAGTTTTTTAGATTTTTCCTCATAATAACTTTCTTCTTTGTTCTTATTTTCCTTCAGACATAGACTTCCATGTGGGAGCACCAGTTGGATTAGATCCTTGAGAATACTCTTTAGTGGGTTTCTGCTGGTGTGAAATTTTCTGAGCTTTTGAAAGATATTTTCTGTTTTCATAGATCTCTTGATTATTAATATTCTTGATTCTTAATTCTTTAATAGATTTAATATATCATTCCATAATCTACTCATTTTCACTTTTGCTGTTAAAAATCATATTGGCCATTTGACTAAGTGTTACACAGTGCATCCATATTTTTCCTTTGAATCTTTTTAAGATCGTATCTTGGGTTAGAAATTTTATTTATTTTGTTTTATGAAGATACACTAGGTGTGGGTCAGTTTTTATTTATTCTGATGTGATTGTTAGTCTTCTGGTCTTTTTGAATCTATTAATAACAGTTCTCATCACCACTGGGTGTTCTTAGTCATGATCTCTTTAAACACCACCTTGGTTCCATTTTCTCTGTTTCTTCTAGAACTCAAGCATGTATTAGTTTTTCTTATTGTATCATCCATGCCTTTTGATCATTTTTTCCTATTTTCCACATTTTCAAGCCTTCTGAAGTATTTCTTCTGGCTTATTATCCCTTAAGTAATATTCTTTTATTCTGGTCTAATGTGAATGCCATCAGAATGCACCTTGCAGACTGCCAACCATGACAGAGAGAATTGACTGAAGGGCTCTGCGATCAGCAGCTTCTGACGTGGCTTCCCACGGTCATGGCCCCACGAGCATCTGTCTTGTTCTTTCCCTTGTGCACGCGCCTCCCCTTGCATGTGGGCTAGACCCAGGGAGTTGCTTCTAATGAGGAGACCAAAACTATGGAATGTCACTTTTATGATTAAGTTTAAACACCCTGACTTTGTCTTGCTAGCACTGTCTTTATTGCTCTCTTCCTATTTGCTCTGATGAGTAGAGCTGCCTTGTCTTAAGGTGCTTCCTGGAGAAGCCCATACAGCAGGGAAGCAGAGTGGGCCTCAGTCAGCAACCCTTGAGGATCAGCCTGCTAGCTTCCAGGGCTGTGACAGCAGCAACAGTTCACTCTGGTTGCTTAAGCTGTCATTTTTGGATAGAAATATTCAAAAATCTTACCGTAGCAAGTTAATTTTTTTAAATTTTGGTATCATTAATCTACAATTACAGAAAGAACATTATGTTTACTAGGTTCCCCCCTTCATCAAGTCCCCCTCACATACGCCTTCACAGTCACTGTCCATCTGGATAGTAAGATGCTGTAAAACCACTACTGGTCTTTTCTGTGTTGCACAG